GGTTTTTAAGGACTAGATGATTACCTGCTTAAACAGCATGGAAGCTACCAGTAAAATGTAGCAAAATGATTAAAGAAAAAAAAAAAAGAACACCCCCATTACATCCAAATGTAACAGATGGACAGTTGTACTTTAGGGAATGTTCAGGGAGCCTGTTTCCTCCCCTTCAAGCTAGGGAGGGCAGAAGCCACAGGCCCTCCTGGGCGCAGAGGAGAGACAGCTTCCCTGCCTCTCTCCCTCCTTCGCCCTCCCCTGCATCCTCCTGGCCACTGAGGGAGGACTGTTCAGCTGCCACCAAGGCCTCACTCCAAATTGTGTGATGGTTAAGGAAAAAAGCACTAAGTACCAAGGGTGAGTAGGGGGGAGGGGGTGTGCAGAGCTGGGGCTTGACGGCAAATGACAGTATGGATGTGACCTTTCCTGTCACAGATGAGGCTGAGTGTCACTCTGGTGGGAAGCTCGTCCTTCTTCTTGGTCTGTCCTCTGTTTGGGGATCTGCCACCTTTGGGGTCCTCGTGGGTTGCAGAGCTGCCTTGTACAATTGAAGCTGAAAATGCTAACAGCTTATTTTCATGGTTTTCCTACAAGGACATGAACACTACCCATTTCAGTGTCAGGGATCCTTGTAGAACTCTTTTCTCTGGTTGCAGGACTTTGGGATTTCTGGGGCCATTGTGGCCAGCAGCTTTGGTGTCTTCCTGGTACTAGCTGCAACATATGGGCTTGGTGGAAGCAGCAGAGCTTTCCTGCCTGGAAGAGTTCTGTGTGGGGTATTGGACATCCTTCCCTGAATCTGGGTCTCCAGGAGCTCTTGTGTGTCTGTGAACTTTTACTATCTTAAAAATAAAACTTTGTGCTTCACTTGGCCAGATGGGTGTCTGTTGTGTGCTGTTAAGAACGTTGACATATTAGAAAGGCAGAAAGATATACCCCGGGGATGGGCTGGTGTTTGTGCCCACGCAAACAGCCAGTGCAGGTGGTCAAGCTCCTATCTCCAGAGCAACAAATCGCACTCTAGTTCCATGGGGTGGGGGTGGAAGAAAGGGGCAGTGGGGCTCCGACTCCTCTCTTGCTGTCTTAGGCTCAGTCCACCTTTGAAAGAGTCTCAGCTGAGCTTTGTTTCAAAGGAAAGATCTTTTTT